GCACAGAAGAAGAATACAAAAATCAAACGTGAAGCTCTTCTACACCCAGACGCTAGTGCAAAACTGCAAGATATTTTGAAGCGGACTCCAGAAGTGTCATGGGAAGTGAATGCCTCGCAACATGCAGCAGAGGTTATTGATTTCTGCCAAAAACAGCTTGTCCAAGCATTCGCTGAGGCCACAAGTTTCCGGGCAGCTGGATTTGCCAAGCAGCACACTATTGCAGTTTTTCAGGATCTCACCCATACCAAGAGAGCAATCAGAGAGCACCGGAAGATCATGGCCCAAGTGTTTCTGAGAGCCATTTTCAACAAATGGAAAGGGATAACCATTACCGAACAACAGCTGTGGTGGGAATTTCGAGCAAGTCTCTATGCGTTTTGTTTAGGACAAACATGCAAACAACCAGCCAAAGAGCTCAAGCAGAGCCTTCGTCAAGATAGAAAGGACTTTGTTGATCAAGTTGCCACCGAGGCTGCCAAGGCCCCAGCTTTCGAGATATGGCGACTTCTAAGACCAATACTTCCGAACAGAAAAACCTCCAATGCAAGACGCGCAATCCCGCAGGTGCAAAACCTGGATGGGGAGTTGACCAAAACGCGCGATGAATACCAACAAAGGTGGACCCAGCATTTTCGAGACCTCGAAGCAGGGTTCCCTGCCGATCCAGAACAGTTTGTCAAGTCAGCTCTGGAGCGTCAGAACCGTGAAAGGCTTGCGCTCCAGTTCGATCTTGACCAGCTGCCGACACTGCATATGATTGAAGAAGCGATCAAGAGAACCAAAACTCAGAGAGCGCCTGGCCCAGACGCCCTCCCAAACGAGCTTTTCCGAAGCAACCCTAGCCTCGCAGCTAAGGTGCTATGGCCGATAGCCATGAAGTTCGCAACTCGGCTTGAAGAACCGCTACAGTTTAAAGGCGGGCAATTAGTCAGTCTGTACAAAGGCAAAGGACAGCACTCCAACTGCGAAAGCTTTCGTGGAATCCTGCTGATGGCCAACGCAGGGAAGATCGTGAGATCAGCCATGAGGAAGCATGTCAATGAGCCTTATGTCACATGTCCTGACGAGTTGCAATTGGCAGGCAAACCAGGTATCTCAGTGACCTTCGGGGCACAAGCAATTCGGAGCTTTCACGCTATTGCTAAGCAACGTGGATCTAGCTCTGCTGTCCTGTTCTGTGATATCAAGGCCGCATACTACATGGTACTACGGGAAATCTCAGTGGGCGCGACGACATCCGATGAAGATGTGGCAAAGATTGTCGCACGGCTTGGCTTAGGTCCCGAAGTGATGAGTACACTGGCAAAAGCACTGTCTGGCGTGCATGCCTATGCAACCATCGGAGCTAGTCCACACCAGCAAGCGTTGCTCCGGGAAAGTCTCTCTGACACATGGTTCACACTCTTTGAAGAAGACTTCACCCAGACCTCAAGGGGCACGAGGCCAGGAGATAGCTGGGCAGACATCGTATTCAATGTTACATTCCACGCCCTGCTGATACAGCTCCAGGAGGAATTGGCACACCTCCCTATCTGGATGCCTCTCCCAGAATGTCAAGACAAGGTGCTAGACTCACCCATGCCCGACGACTGCAAGCCGCTAGCACACGTGACCTGGGCAGACGACTTGGCTATCCCGATGATTTTTGAAACTCCGCAGGCATTGGTGAAGCAGTTGCCGGTCGTGATAGACCACCTTCTACAGGCATTGGAGATGAGGGGCATGCAGGCACACATCGGAAAGGCCAAAACGGCGGCCATCGCCACTCCCCGGGGAGCAGGCGCTATTTCAGTCAGGCGACAACTCTTCAAGAGGAAAGAAGCAAATATGCCCGTTGTCCGCGAAGAACAGACAGTCCAGGTGCCTCTGGTCTCCTGTTACAAACATCTCGGAGGACAACTTACAGCCAAAGGCGATCTCTTGACTGAAATCAAAGCAAGGATGAGCCGAGCCAGATCCTCCTATTGGCGAGCTGCCAAGACGGTCTTCCGAAATGAAAAACTCACCAAAGAAGCAAGGTGCCAGCTCTTTCAAGCTACAGTGATGGCATCTTTTCTCTGGGGAGCAGGATGCTGGCCCAGTCTCAATCAACAAGAAGAACACAGATACCAAACATACTGCTGGGAGCTGTACACATTTTTGCTGCCTAAGAGCTTCCGAGCAAATAAATTGCACCTCTCACATGCAGAAGTGCTGGACTATATCCAGCTCCCACATCCGATGTGTCTTCTGCATGCCGAACGAGTCCGACACTTTCAACTGCTGGTGAACAAAGCGCCCATGGCCGTCTGGACCCTTTTCAGAATGGACAAGCTTGCCGTCAAAGGTCTTGAAGAGTCGCTGGAATGGCTTCGATCCATGACGGAACGGGATGCCAACATGCCGGATTTCAGATCTTTGAATGACATAGCAACCTTCATCAAGGAAAAGCCAGGCACATGGAAAGCTGCCATCAAAAGGGCGCTCAAGCGGGCGGTGGCACACCAGACAGCAGAGAACAAGCAGCAATATTGGCACCAACGACTCTACCAGATGCTAGCCGAAGAGGGATTCGTTGTAGCAAAGCCAACGCTGAGTCCGCAAGCAAATCCATGTCTCTTGTGCGAACAGGGTTTCGGATCCAAGAGGGCCTGGTTTCTCCATGCGCACATCAAACATTCATACTTGTCCATGCATGGGCAAGTTGCAGAGGGGCAAAAGTGTTTTGTATGTGCAAAAGAATACACATCCCGACTATCCCTCATGGCGCACCTCAGGTACAGCCCAGCCTGCTGCACCCAGATGTGGCAAAAGCCAATGCCGCCGGGGCCTCTAACTGAGGAGCACCCGCAAGCGCCTTGGAGATACACGGGAGCTGAACAGGAAGAACCGCCGATACCGGTTCACCGGGATTTTGTTGACTTGACACACGAATTGGAACAATGCATTCGATGTTTTTCAGTCGACACAGGTGATCCAGCGTTTACACAGGTTCTTTTCGAGTCACTCCAAGCAGCTTGCACTCGTGCTATGCACTTCGCAGACATTGTCGAGTGTTTCGGTGAGTGGGCGGCGGAGTATCGAAACTCGGAAGACCCCAAGCTCACCTCCGCACTCAGCCAAATCGATGAGTGGTTTGTGGACTGCGAGAAAAGGCTCAGTGTGGCAAGTCCCGACCTCTCGTTTTGGTCAACCGAAGCCGAACGTTCGGATATTCAAATCCGACCTGCCGGACCGAGATGCAGAGAGTTTCTCCCGCGACAGATGATTTGCCTGCACCTCTTCAGCGGGAGACGACGCCAAGGGGACGTTCAGAGTGCATTTGAAAGCCTGCCGATACCGGACGGCACTTCCCTGCTAGTCGTCTCGGTGGATGTTGTCGTGTCGCAAACCAAATGCAACCTACTTAGAACCGAGCAGCAGACTCAATGGCTCAAGCTCGCTCTTGACGGCGCTATCGCCGCAGTCATTGCGGGCCCTCCATGTGAAACCTGGTCCATCGCCAGGTATGCTACCCCATCCAGCCAAGGTGACCGAAGATACCCTCGACCGCTCAGAACACGAGGTCAGCCATGGGGTAGGAAAGATCTGACTGCAAAAGAATTCCTGCAATGTGAGACAGGCAGCTCACTTATGGGGTTCACGCTGCAAATTATGTTGGCTCAGGCAATCCGAGGGGGCTTTGCCCTCATGGAGCACCCAGAAGACCCTGTGAAGTTTAGGAGTGACCATCCCGATGCCCCTTCGGTATGGAACACCCAAGCAGTCCGCTGGTGTTGTGACACGAAGCTTTTTGGCTTGCTCACACTCCAACAAGGCTTCTTTCATGCCAAGAGCCCAAAGCCGACTACTTTTTTGCTTTCAGGAATCCCACAACAAACTGCCCGTCAGCTTGAAGTTGCCTATAGAACATCCGAGCTTCCGCGAAGCGGAAGCATCGGTTTAGGCTCCAAAGGATGGAACACTAGCGGGCTGAAAGAATACACGGCCCAGCTGTGCGCTTTCATCGCAGCACTGTTCCAAGAGTGGATCAGTGCACATGCTCATTGTCCGGCCCGGAGTTTCGACGAAGTTGCCGAATGGGTCAGAGAACTCATTGTCACGGAAGAAGGCAGCCGTGATATCTTCGGACCCGACTTTGAGCCAGCCGCATGCCAATTTGAGAATTTGTAGCCAAGGCGCTGCGCTTTACGGCACCGTGCGCTTGAAAGTGAAAGTGTGTTCCTCCTCTGGGGCGTGCGTTTGAGGTCACGCCTCGCGACCCGAACGGCTCGTTCGTCCCGGTCCGACCGGTCGGTTCGTCCGTCCGAACCTTCAAATAGGGTTTGGTTCGGCCCCGGACCCCTGCAAAGAGGTCGGGTCCGACCCCTGCGGACAGCCCGAGCTCGGATTCTTAGGGTGGGCAATCTATTAGGCCGCCGCGAAGTTCATCGGTGAGGCCGTTGTCGAGGGCGCCGGCCGCGACGCCGCCACACCACCGTGGACGGCGCTGGGCCGCTGGGCATCTCTCCCTCAGCCTTCGGGTCCGTTTTCCCCGTGCTGCCATGGAGGGCCCGTTCGGAGTCTTTGGGTGCTCAGGAAATCCGTTCGGAATCACAAGGAATCCAACGAGAACGAGTTAACGAGAAGACATCAACATCGTGGACATCTGAAACCTTCAAAGCCCCACAAATCCATGTGCTTGGTCCGAGGGGGACGGTGCGCTTTCCTTTGCTTGGAGGTTACTGGAGCCAAAAGGGTTTTCAGTGGTGGTTTCAAGGGACCTTCGGACACCAAATGCCTCTTGCCGCCGGTGTGGGGCACAGCTGCCTGTTGTGTCTCTTACCCGTTGCCCCATCCACATCTCCAATTATTGAATGGTTCCAGAAATCCCATAGTTTCTTTTACAGGAGGGTGGCACCCAATGGTTTCTCCTTTAAAAGGGAAGGGTGAAGCATCTTGAAAGGGTCAACTTTGTTAGGGTCATTCACGCCTGATCCACTCGCCCATCCTAAACTCTCGCTCCCCTCGACCGCGACCTCTCCGGCTGCGACACTGGCGGGGTGGAACTTGGCCTCCGGCGTGGTCTGCTGAACACGACGACGGCGTTTGTTGCAGCACGCGATTGGATGGGAGGACTGGATCCACCATGGTGAATCACCATGCATCTACCTGGTCACGCTTGGGTCATGCTTGGGATGCTATTTTTTTTGCCCTGCGGAGCAATAGAAGTTTATCTGTTCATCTGCGAAACTGAGCAGGGGCCAGTTCACAGATTACACCGGCGTAGACCCCAGATAGTGGGTGTATGGGTTTAAGGACACGCTGCGGACGGCTGTCATCGCAGCACGCAACATCAGACCATTCCACCAATATGCGCAACATCTATCAGCTGAATGCGCTCGCTTAGCCCAACAAAGACATAAAACTGCAAGATCGACACGGACCAGCCAAAGCTGCCCAAACGCCATGATGATCATTGCTGCACCATGACGTGATGTCTTTCTTGGCATGACATGATGTCGTCATCCCAGGCATGACATGATGTCCTCCCTGGCTTGACATGATGCCCCCCGTGGCATGACATGATGTCGTCATCCCAGGCATGACGTGATGTCATCCCAGGCATGACATGATGTCGTTCTGGGCATGACACCCCTGGCAGGACATGATGTCATCCCAGGCATGCCACCCCTGGCACGATAGGATGTCATCCCAGTCATGACATCATGTCATCCCTGGCATGACATGATCTCATCCCTGCGCGTGACATGATGGCATCCCTCGCATGACACGATGGCATCCCTCACATGACACGATGTCATCCCTGGCATGACAGGATGTCGTCCCTGGCATGACATCATGTGATCCCTGTCATGACACGATGTCATCCCTGCATGGGCATGACATGATGTCTTTCTGGGCATGACATGATGTCACCCCTCACAAGACACGATGTCACGCCTGGCATGACATGATGTCATCCCTGGCATGACCTGATGTCACCCCTGGCGTGACGCAAAACGAACCGCCGATCCAGAGCCAGCCCCTGCACCAGCACGGCGCCAGCACCAGCACCAGCAAAACAAAACGCCGATCCAGCACCAGCATCAGCACGGCAGCAGCACCTGTTAAACCAAAACGCTGATCCAGCAGCAGCACCAGCTATCAGGGGAAAAACAAGGAAAGAAAGAAAGAAAGTCAAAGTCAAAGTCAAAAGAACAAGAAAGAAAAGAAAAAAGAAAGGCGCGCGGCGGACTGGGACGAATTCAATCCCCGCATTGCTCTGATATTGAACGCCAGCATTGGCACGACCAACTCCGAGCCAGAAGCGGCTGGTCGCGCCCATGATACCCTCGAGTCTCGAGTCAAGAATTCATCTGGGTGTAATTGTGGAGGACACCGTTTTCAAAAAGGCCGGGCACATGTGTGTGTGTGTGTGTTTTTCAGTGTTTTGGGTACTTCGGGAAACATGGTCAAAATCGTCCTGCCGTCCTGCCAGTGAAACATCACAGGCGCTTGAAACCTTCCCATTCTGGTTTGAAGACTTGTAACTTGCAACTCCAGGCAAGACCCTTCGACTTGGACCACCTGCCAATAGAAATGAGACTCATCGACCGTCCACTGGGCACGCGCCCCATCCCCATGGATCAAGCAGGGTCCAAGAGGCAAATTCTCATTGCGAGGCTTCTCTTCCACCAGCAGCCGAGGTTTCACTTCCACCGCGTCCACCTCCGAAGCACCCCGTCGCGGCCCGGCCGACGGGACGAAAAACGGTCGTTCCAACTGCACAAAAGTGCTGTGGCTCCCCATCCCTCCCTCTCTGCAGTCTTCCACAACAGGTACTGCAGCTGGTTGTTTCGGTTGGCATGCGAAGAGGCAAACGATCAACTGCACAAATCCCTCGCGGTATCTCCAACACCGACCCTTTGCCTGCAGTCGTCCCACGAACGAGAAAGTCGTGGCATCCGTCCAAGGAACGCAGGCCACTTGCAAGGTGAGAAATTACACTCCCTAGGCCCTGGGATTCGTTGCTCAACATTGACTTCATAGCTTGAATTAGACGAAAATCCTGGTTTACTAAGGACTTTACACCACAGAACCAGGTCCACGCAGAGTAAAAGTCCCTGAAAAACCCGTCCCAACCGAAACAGCTCTGGCTCTGGTTGTTCCAATATGGTGCCAGCTTGAGATCCTTGACATAGCATGTGGCTTACAATAGGTGTTTGGGGAAACAAACATGAAACGTCCATGTAATTATTGTTTCTGATTTGTGACTAGGTGCTCAGCTCTGCCAATGCTTTAGGGAAACGATGGTTTCCTCCGTGTGAAGACCGCTCCGACCCACAAAATGCGCGCCGACGTGTCGCCTTTCGCGTTCACGGCTGTGCGCGCGAAAGTGGTCTTTCTAGTGGTTCTCTCCAAGATCTTGGTGAAGGTCTTTCTAGTGGTTCGGAGAAACATCACCAAGAGAGGTGGACATGACCTTAAAAACGACCCTATAAGAGAGTGCCCAAAGCAGACAGGACGCGGTCGACCACGTCTAGGGTTCTTCAGCCTCTGCTGGCAAAGGGTGCATAAATGGTAGATGTGCACTGTTGATGAAGAAATGACACCACCGTAGACCCCAAACAGTTTGTGTTTTTCAATATCGGAACACTCTGCAACTAGAGTTTGCGACGTCCAGAGCTGGGAGACAAAGGATTGCAAGGCAGAGGCGGCCACAGCAGTCCAGAGCTGGGAGGCAAATGTAGACACAGGGAGACAACTGTAAAGGATTGCAAGCGACATGCAGCCCAGAGCTTGGTGACAAATAAAGGATTGCAAGGCAGAGGCGGATACAGCAGTCTAGAGCTGGGAGACAAATGCAAAGGCTTGCAAGGACACATGTAAAGGATTGCAAGGCAGAGGCGGACACAGCAGTCAGAGCTGGGAGACAAATGTAAAATTGAGGATTGCAAGGCAGAGGCGGACACAGCAGCCCAGCACTGCGAGACAAATGTAAAGGATTGCAAGGCAGAGGCGGACACAGCAGCCCAGAGCTGGGAGACAAATGTAAAGGATTGCAAGGCAGAGGCGGACACAGCAGTCCAGAGCTGGGAGACACGGGAGACAAATGACAACGTAAAGGATTGCAAGCGACACGCAGCCCAGAGATGGGAGACAAATGTAATATTGCAGGGCAGAGCAGCTGGGAGACAAATGCCAAGGGTTGCAAGCGAGACGGGGAGAAAGGAGGCAAATGTAAAGGAAAGAAGGAAGACAAGGCGAACACAATGACCAACAAGAAGGGGGACAACAAGGGAGACAAGAAGGGAGACAAAAGGAAACAGAAAGGAGACAAGACGGACACAATGCCCAACACAAGAAGGGCGACAAGACCGGAGACAAAGGGAGACAGAAGGGAGACAAGGCGGACACAATGACCAACAAGAAGGGAGAAGAAAGGAAACAGAAGGAAGACAAGACTGACACAATGACCAACAAGAAGGGAAGCAAGACCGGAGACAAAGGGAGACAACAAGGGAGACAAGGCGGACAGGACCAGCAAGAAGGGAGACAAAAGGAAACAGAAGAGAGACAAGACGGACACAGCGACCAACAACAAGGGGGACAAGGACAAGACCAGAGACAAAAAGAAACAGAAGGAAGACAAGGCGGACACAATGACCAACAAGGAGGGAGACAAAAGGAAACAGAAGGGAGACAAGACTGTAGGCAAAGGGAGACATGCGGACACAATGACCCACAAGAAGGGAGACAAGAAGGCAGACGGACACAATGACCAACAAAATGGCAAACAAGAAGGGAGACAAAAGGAAACAGAAGGGGGACAAGGCGGACACAGTGACCCACAAGAAGGGAGACAAGACCGGCCAACAAGAGGGAGACAAAAAGGAGACAAGACAAAAGAAAACAAACACAGTGACCAACAAGAAGGGGGACACAGTGACCAACAAGAAGGGAGACCAAGGAGACAAGCCGGACGGAAGGCGGACACGCTGTCCGGCAGCAAGGCGGACACTCTTACAAAGCATTTAGAGCCCCTAACAGCAGCCTGTTTGGGGAAGTACAGAAATCACCCACAAATGAATAGAAATGCTGGAAAAACAAAAGTAAACAAACCACATCAGAAACAAATTAATAGAAATGCTCCAGCCAGCGGAAAAGGGCGGACACCAGCAGCGCAGGCACCGAACCTGGGAGACAAAAGTAAAGAAATCATTTTAAGGACAAACGAATTGAATGCTGCATGGCCAGCAGAAATAGGCGGACACCAGCGCTGACAGAAAGGGCGGACACATCTTAGGAGAGAAACCCTACGTAACGGCAACCTGCTTGGGGAGTGAATAGAAATGTTGCATCGCCAGCGGAAAGGGGTGGAAATGAGCAGTGACACATCTCGGAGACAAATGAACAGAAATGCTACATGGCCAATGGAAAAGGGCGGACACACCTGGGAGACAAATGAAAAGAGATGCTAGATGGGGCGGACGCCAGCAGTGACAGACCTGGGAGACAGATGAATAGAAACGCTACATGGCCAGGGGCAGACACCACCAGTGACAGACCTAGACCTGGGAGACAAATAGAAATGTTGCATCGCCAGCGCAAAAGGGCGGACATCAGCAGTGACAGACCTGGGGAGACAAATGAATAGACATGCTACATGGCCAACAGAAAAGAGCTGGCACCAGCAGCGGAAAAGGGCGGACACCACCAGTGACAGCGGACGCCAGCAGCGACAGACCTGGGAGACAAAGGCGGACACCAGCAGTGACAGACCTGGCAGACAAATGCATTTTCAGCGGAAAAGGGTGGACACCAGCAGGACAGACCTGCGAGACAAGTGAATAGAAATGCTACATGGCCAGCGGAAAAGGGCGGACACCAGCAG